TGAAACAACTTCCTCAGGAAGTGGTTTATATTAGACAGTTAAGACATTTGTTTGTTTTCTATAACTGTAATGATCTAGATTGGTGAAGTTTTCATTGGTCTTAAAACAGTTATAATCAAATGAGTACATGGTAATTCTGCTTTTGTTTTATAGTATTAGATAATTTCCACTGATTTTATTACTTTCACCAACAATATTTCTTATGAATTTGGTATAACAAAGACTATCTGCTAATGTCAGTTTATTTAGGAATTATAGAAATAAGGGAATTGCACTGAAATAACACACTGTTTTCCAGTTATGACTGCCTTACAGTCACTGTAAATCTTTTCAATTATTTATTAAGTACATTAAATAAGTTGTCTGGGGTCAATTCTGAAATTATATTTAGATTCTGACACTGCTCATCACTTTCTGCTACAAGTGCTATTCCCACTGCTACACCCTGGGCCAGCCTGCCTCCAGCTCTTGGTAGACAGTGTAACACAGCAAGTCCTAATTGGTCTCCATTCCAGCTCCTGCCTCCTGATAGTCCGCTCTACACCCAGCAGTTACAGGAAGCTTTAGTAAAAGGAAAACTAAATCTCATTATTTCTCTACTCAGATCCCTCCATATTTCCCATTACATTTAAAATGTAAACTCCTTACTGTGGCTTCTGAGATCTTACAAGATATCTGGGCCTGGCCCCTCTAGGCCATTTCCTAATGCTTCCTTTTACTTAGAATGCTACAGCCAATCCCAATTTTTTTTGTTCCTTGTTCAGAATACATTTTCTCTTATCCCAGGGCCCCACGCTGATAGAAAGAAAATTCATACAAGCTTGACTTTGTGTCTCCTAATCTTGATTTATTTTTGTTCATAATATGTAAGTATTATCATGTGATTTATTGAAATTATGCAATTTATTTTTCTCCCTCTTTCTGTGTTTAGAGGACAGAGACTTTGTCAATCTCATTGATGCCTGTAGCCGAGAATCAAGAACAGTACATGGCATGTAGTAGGTGCTCAAAGAATATTTTAGGATCAGTGAAAGGCCAGATGAATGGATGAAAGATAGAGAGGCTACTGGCACACAAACCTTTGGAGAGTCTGCTGTAGAATGCATTACCTTGAGATCTATGATGTTATTCATCGCTGTGATTTTCCTCACCTGTTAGGAATCAGTACTTTCTTATTTTTCTCACTCAGGACCTAATTTAATTATGTTCCTTATTTTCACTTAAATTGTGTGGAAAAATCGTTTTTGTAGAGCATTTAAAGACCCAATAATGATCACTGTTAAGAAGTAGCAGAATGCTTTTTTTAACATTGTTGTTACCTGAATCCTTCCTAATACTCAAAGTCATTTAGATGCTTCCTCCTTTCTGTTATCATAGCACTTTGGATATGACTTTATTTACACTCAATTCACTAAGTGATAATAAGTGCTCTTCCTATCTGTCTTATTCATATTGCCTAGCAGATACTATCTATTCAAGGATAGCTGGATAATGATGACTGGGTGAATGTTTGGAAGGACGCACGTGGATAGATTTAAACAGTGACACAGTGGAAAGCAGTTTATCTGCAGGATGTGTTTAGTGGTGGGGTTTACCAAGTTTACCTCCTCTCTGTGACTGGCTAGTGTCAGGACTTTAGAACAAGGACATTGTTAGGGAGAAGGTTGCAACAAAGGAACTATAAAGAATAAACCTACATCTTCATGATCACATTTTAACCACTGAGTGATCCATGAATGGACCATTAGAATTATTCCTTACAGGAAACTTTGGTGAAATAATAGTTTTAAACATTACGCAATGTATTAGTAGTCCAAAGATACAGTTTCAGCTACTAACTACATACTATCTATACACAGTTTCCTGACTTGTGATATCAATAATATGGTTTGATTCCTTATTATAATGTAAGCAGAGCTTGTTTGAGCAGAGCTGAATTAGGATGTTTTCTTGGATGCAAATAAGAGAATATATGTTGGAGGTAATATGTAAATTATAAACTATGACCATAATCTTAGGCTATTATGATTATTATTTTAATCTTCAGCCTCAACTACTCTGGCAGCTCTGAAACACACTATCAATAGCAACAGGAAGGTTGCAGAATTACGTGTAAATGTAGGCCAACTAATAAGATCACTCATGCATATTTAACATTGTCCAAAAGTTACCTCATCCATTTCCAGGTGCTCCAGCAGTTATAATATAATGTAACAAAGTAATGAAATAAATGGCATTGTACTAAGGAAGAGTGATGGAGCTGTAATAATTTGGCTATTAAAATTACACTTCCAGAGATGGGCCTAAGTTTTATGTTGCAAACATAATGGCCTGCTATACTGATTGGTCCCCTTGAGCTTTGGAGCTGATGCTGGTTCACAAACAAAATTTAGAAGACCTAATGGATTCCCACTCAAACCAAGTTTCCATCATAAATCATATTATTGATGAATGTAAAAGGGAGTTATAATGACATTTTAAATTGTTTCTTGGTATACTAAAGGTAATTACTTTGTGTCTTATCCTCTTAGGCTTTAAAATGGAAGATGTCTTTTTTATTAGTTGTATTTTACGTACTTTGTTTGGTAGATTCTTAAACACTAGAGTTGTGAATTTAAGGCAAGGCCAAAGAAAAGGAATATATATTTCTTCAGTACCTAATGTTTTCAAGTCACATATATTGTCCTTCTTACTCCTTGGGACTAGAGGATTTGATATTTACAATTTTCAGATTAAGAAATTATAAATGACCCACTGCCATTAGGCTAATAAATGGTGTAGCCAGGATTTTGACTTGGGTTGCCTGAAATCAATATTAGTTTGCATTCTGCTACATCACACTCCTGATTGCTTTACCATATCTGGCCTTTGCTCAGAAGTTACCACAATTCTCTGTACTGTAATAACATTTTTCACCTTTGGTATTGGCATCTTTCCTCCCTGCTGTGTTTTTCTCCAATGCACTGATCGCAAAGCATACTTAATATTTCACTTAATTTGTTATATTGTTTTTTTGCTCTTACTTTGATGTTTCATGATGGCAGTGTTCTGTTTGCTTCCAGAACTCAAACTCTTAAAAGGATGCTTTATATGTCGTAGGTGTTTAATAAATAAGTATTGGCTGAATGAAATGTAATTTACATAAATCTACAGGAAACATTATAGTTTATTCATAAACATCAGCTTTGAAGTCAGATCTTGATGGGTTTCAAGTCGGAATGTACCCCTTGCTGATTTGGTGACTTTGGCATGCTACTTAATTTGCATATGTCTTAGTTTATTATTAAATGTAGGTAAAAAAATGTAACCAAATGCAGGTCCAGCTGCCCGCCATTTTGAAAGACAATACTCAAGAAAATAGATGCTGGTATAAATTAAAGAGATTGATTTAAGTATTCAGTCACCTGAAAAGATGGGGGACTCAGTCTTAAAGGCCATCTTAACATCTCAGCACAGGCATGGGTTTTTATAAGAAGGGAGAGGAGAGGCAGAACAGTGAGATCAAGAAAAGGGGGTTGAAAAGTTTTCTACATGAAGACCAGCATAGTTCATTCTGATAAGGACCTCAAAACTGGCCAAGTGATGGTCTTGTGTGCATCATCCTGGTTTTTGTCATCCTGGTTTTACATCATCCTGGTTTTCCTGTTGAAGGTCAGCAAATCTCTCAGATCTCGCATGACTGAATGTCTGAATATTGGAACTTTTGAAGTTAGTTACTAGGATTCTCACATAAACATGCTGTTCACCTACAAGCTACATGTTAGTCAGAATCAGCACTTACAGGAACAATGTCAAAAGAGTGATGGGTTGGGTTACTATTCTCCACTATTATGAAAATCATACCCACTTTGTAGACTTGTTGTAAGGATTGAAGAAAATAATGTACCTAAAGTTTCTGGCTCTTAGTATGTACTCAGTAAATGTTAGCCATTTATCATTGTTAGCTATATTCATAGGTGAAGGTATAACCCTAAATTCTTAGAGCACTTTAACATAACTAGTAATTAATTATATCCTAAAACATGGTGTGACCCATTCAATCTTAGTTCATTCCAATGCTAAGAACCTGATATTACTAGCTTTGTATGGCATAACACATTATTGAAGATTTTAAGCTTTACTAATAAAGATATTAATGTATGCTTTATAATCAAAATTGTCTTTTTTTCTGTCACAATCCTATGTCAAATGATTGAACTCTTTAATGCACTATATATAGTTGTCCATGTCAGAATTTGTGTTTAACAGTTTAACAATTTTTAAAAATAAGCGTCTCCATAATATTTTCATTTGTTTGAAAAAGGTTAAGCATATATTAATCTTTTTTTAATTTGAAGAGATATTATTATCATAGGAAATATAAATTTTGTGAAGTGTGTCAACGGTTCTTACAGCCACCATAGAGGTTTTGTGTTTTATATTCTTTTACATTGATTATAGCTTGTTTGTTATTTTCTAAAATCTTTCTTGTAATGAATGGTAGCATTTCTTCTATGGTTTCTCAGACTTCTTATACCCTTATGTCAAATTCACATTTATAAAACTTTACAACTTTTTAAGAAAATAAATTCTCAAATGTACACAGCTTTTAACTAGTCAAATAAATGTTCAGAAATCTATTGAATTCTTACAAATACCTATATTTGTATGTACTATCTCTTGATACTGAATTTTTACAAATATCTCTACTTCAAGTTCAAAAAGGTGGTTTCCAGTAAAATGTGCATAATTATAATTTTATTTTCAAAAAGTTTAAGTATGTTAAATACCAGAGATGCATTTAACTTTTATGAAAGTTACTCTAGTGTCAGTATTAATTCACTAACAGGCAAACTTCCATGTTATTAATTTTTTTGGCTTACTTGGTGGATGGGTCATAAGATAATTATACTTGGCTGAGCACTAGGAAAATATGAAAAAAGGCAAGATTAGTACACGTAAAAAGACAGAAAATTTAAAAAGGATAAAAATGGATATAATTATCTTTTTCTCTTTTGTAGCCCTAGGAAAAGATAAGGATTACTTGGATGAATCAGAACATGCTAATTATGACCGTTCTCGGCTCATTAAAGATTTTGTTCCCAAAGATAATTCTGAATCCAGGAGAAGATTGCCAAAGGTAATGTAAATTAAACTAGTAAAAGCCACTTGAAGGCCATAACTCCTTAAAGCTTTTAATTTTTCAACAGTAATCTGCATTGTGCTGGAGAGTGTAAGAGGATGCACAATTTAATAAACATGTCTAAGGATACAAAATTCAAAAGTAATGTGTAAATGTCACATTTTTATTTTATACTAGAATTTTTAAAAAATCTGAAATATAAAATTATTTGGTAATATCTTCTCTAGGGAAGGAACCTAAAAAAAGAATAAATGGAATAATTTTTCCATGATTCCACCATTTTTCATGTTTTTTGAAAGGCAGCATGGTTTGATGAATATATGAATTTTAATGTCAAATGGAACAAGCTTTGAATTCCAGTTCCTTTACTTACTAATTTTGTTAACTTAAGCAGGTTAAACTCTCTCAGCCTTGTTTTATCTGTCAATAAAATCAGAATCACATTGTCTGCTTGACAAAATTCTTCGCTGACTACCTGAGATAACCATATGACAGTATCTGGAGCACAGTGAAAGCTGACTAGATAGCAGGCTTTTATAACAACTTGGAGGCTGATAATACCTCACTGAAACTATAGTTCATTAACAGTGAGTAACCAGGATAAATTTCAGTTTAAAAAAAAATCCTTACTTGAGTAATCACACTGTCTCTCAAAATCAGACTCTTCAAGGCATCTGAGTGTGGTTGTCCAACATCTTTTTGAAGTGTTCCAACACAAATCCTGGCTCAGTTCAAGCTCATTGTTTTTCTTGTTTTTTTATTGCTTAAAAAAGGAATGCCTTTGTAAAATTTTCAGTTTAATACAAAGAATGACAACTTTCATTGTCACTACATGGCCAATAATCATACTTGTGAATATGAGGTCTGTCTGGAAAAAGTCCAGCCATTGTTAATGTAATGAGAACAGTTTGCACAATGTTGATGTATCCTGGCAGCCAAGGAGAGTTGACTGGAATGAGCGTGTGTGAACAATGACGACTTCACTCCTCTAGTCAGTGGTGGTGGTAGATGCCATTAAGTGAGCATGTGTACTGTGTGGTCTTGGTCGTCGCATTTAAAATGACTAGGTGAGTAGAGCAACCAATCTGCGTCAAATTTTTTGCTAAGCTTGAACATTCCTCCTGAAAACTATTCATATGATTCAGAAGGCCGCAGCTATGGGCAGTTGGTGATTGGCATCTACATTACAACAACGCACCTGCATATATATCATGTTATTGCAGAGTTTTTTGTTGAAACATCAAATCACCCAGGTGACTCAGCCCCCCTACAGACCAGATTTGGTGTTCTGCAACTTCTGGCTTTTCCCAAAACTAAAATCACCTTTGAAAGGGAAGAGATTTCAGCCTGTTGATGAGATTCAGGAAAATACGACAGGGCAGCTGATGGAGATCAGGAGAACTGGGTGAGGTCCCAAGGTGTCTACTCTGAAGGGGACTGAGGCATATTTTCCTATGTCCAATGTTTCTTGTATCTTGTATCTTCTTCAATAAATGTCTCTATTTTTCCTATTACATGACTGGATTCTTTCTGGAGAGACCTCATATATCACATTCTCTGTAATGTTTGCTTCGGTTTGACTTGAATTAATTTCACAAATCCTTTTTTCAGTCACCACTGAAACATTAATGAAGAAATATGGCACAATTTAAATGTTATTATAAAAGATGCCAAACTTCAATAAATACATGCAGTGATAAATGGTACCAAATTTATTCATTCTTCTTTGGTTTTGTTTAAAGGAGTCACTATTTTGTGCCCATATTTCTTGGGGTATTCACAAACCAGGGGTTAATCTCCCTGTGTTTGCTTTGTCTTCCTGTGTATATGGTCAACACAATGGATGTCTAGAGAGTCTATTATCTGTAAAGCATTGTTTCAAGTGACTTGAAAGAAGGAATTACAAGAAAAATTGAGGAAAAACATATGTTTTTTTCCTTAAGATACTTATATCCCCAACAGGAAGACAAGTACGGTGTACTTCAAATAATTAAAAAATGAACTAGGATTAAATAAAATTTGAATATCTGCTTCTCTAGAATTTACCACACGCCAGCAATGATACCCTCCATTTCATTTCTGCTCAACAATAGTCATATCCCAAACCTCACTTTGACTAAACTTGAACTTCAGAATATAAAATAAAGGACAAAGTGTTAAACCTGCATGCATATTTTGGTGTTAATATTTTCTGAATGATTTTGAGTCCTCATGGTGAACTTTTATTTTGACCAAGTATTTACTGCTTCTGATAATTTAGCAAGTAATCGGCAACACACTATAGATTGTTTTGGGATTAATTAATCTTCAGAACAATAAATTGTATCTTTAGAATACATTGCTTCAAATTATTAACTTTTACCATGTGTTATTTGATTACACTAAAATTCTTTAATATTTTAAAGATGGAAAAACATCTGCAATATTGAAATATAATATGATGATGTTATATTGATAAAGTAGTAGGACATATTTTTTCTTTATTTGAAAGCTACTATGTTATGTGCAAAACTTGTCACTGTAAGGCATAGAAAGGTGGGAAACTCAGAACAGGTTTTGCTCTCCAGCTGCTGGGATGCAGTTCAGATACAGACATATAAATGGAGAAAGCTAAGAGTTCTAGAAATTAGACATGACACTAAGTATAGGATAAGTGAAGATTTAGCTTTATAATGGAAGCCATATTTAAATGTCTCAGAAGCATTGTAGTAAATAGAAAATTCACCATAAGATCTTGAAAAAGACAAAAGAAAAACAAGAACATAAAGAAGAAATGGAAAACAATTGAATCACTGAAAGAACAGCTACTAGAAAACAGAAAGAAATCAGTTGTAGAAAACTCAAAAAGAGGAAAAATCCCTTCTCCAGGATCTGTAAGGTTTGGCATTGTTTTTGAAGAGTCACAGAAAGCAAATTGGTTACCAGAAATGAGTGCAAACACATCTTCTGTCAAGTTCATTGGTGCATACAGATTATCTATATGCCCACATCGAATATGCATCTATAATTTTAACCATTTATCCAAAGTTCTCCATCTGTGTGAAATTATTGAATAATACCTATTAAATTGATTCTTGCATACTGCTTCCTGTATCATGTCAACATAATATGAAAGAAAAAGACAGATGAATTTCCTAATTAAGCTTGCCAGATTGAAAGACAAATGTTATTGTTTTTAGTAGGGAACAGTATTTACCTATCACTGAATAAAGACATTTTAAATTAAAAAAGAAAATTGGCCACACTTCTTTTTTTGTTGTGCCCACTCTATTTTCAATGAGACTTTACAGCTACTCCCATCAAGAGGTGAAAAACTCTTCAACTGGCCTTGGGCTTTGTGTCGACCAGTAGACTGATGTAGAAGGGAAGATGTGCCAGTGCTGAACTTGAGACTCTGAAGGTCTTACACTCACATTCTTTCTCTTGGGACTCAGCCTCCACCATGTGAACAAGTCATGGCTGTTCTGCAGGAGGGTGAGACCAAGTGGGCCAGAGCTTGGTGAGCCCAGTTACCCAACTCAGGCAGAAATATGAGAAAATTCAGTGACAAAGAACAGGAGACATAGACTCATGAAACAGTCCACCTGAGACAGCCTATCCACAGAATCCTGAGCTGCATAATGAGTGTTTGGGGATGGTTTGTTTCTCGCCAATAGCTAATGGAGACAACCGTAAATGTTAAAAGATAACATGTTGGCCGGTATCAGTGATTGCTAATAAAAAGTGAATTTGTCATCAGTCACTGGGAATATTTGCAAACTCGTGTCTGAGTTTTTCACAACATACTCATATTATTCATTTAATTCTATAGAACCCAAATATATTTAAATATCATAGCCTAAATTGCATGATATCTAAGCAACCTATCTAAAACTTTCTGAAATGACCATTTCTAAAACTCTATTTACAAAAGTGCTTTCTTTATAATAACACTAACATAGGTCAAAATTCCAAGATTACATTTCATTGGACTATATTTATATAGAGAGTTACAGCAGTCACAAACATCCAATAAAAATAATGAACTAATTTTTTAAAGGCGAGTTTATTTCCTTTCAACATTTTGACAAAATGTTCTCTCACACCTTTGTGGATAGAAATCCAGAAAGCAAATTTGTAATGTAAGAAAAGAATCAATTTCATAAATGTATAAACTGGAGTTCTTGGGCTATCTGCAAGCAAAGTCTTGAGTATAGAGGGATTGTTTTTTAACATAGTTTGGGTTAAAACATGATTGCCTGTCTCTGTCATAGTAATACAGAGAGCGCTGTGAATAACACTTAAAGATAAGGTCCTATAGTCAACAGGATGATCCTCAGAAGCAAAATCCTCTCCATCAAAGAGCCATGCTCTACACACCAGGCAGAGCCTGTAGGAGTGGACAGTGTACACAACTATCTACAGTTAGTCTGTGTTAGAAAAAATAAACTCGTGAAGCAGAATCCATGATTTCTGCTTCGTGAAGAGCTTGCTGCTGCTCCCATCTCCCGGGATGCCAACGATAACTACAGATGTTGCCAATAATGAGTCTGAGAATATAAATCTCTATTCATTCCATATGATGGTGATGTCTCCTTTTACAGAACGTTTGGTATCAAATTAGACAGAAAAGAGGTTATGGGCTAGGAAAACCTTTGCATGAATATTTTAGCAGTTCATTAAATTTAAATCTCAAGGCCAATCAATGTGATTGTATAAATTGTCAGATGGTGTTCATCTTTAACTCGGTAACAGGAATAACTTTCTGTTAAGACTGGGGACACTGATGATTTGGTGGAGAAGGTGAAAGGGAGCTGGCTCTGTGGCCTTGTATGATGTATCTTTCATGTGGGTGTTGCAGCTCTTTTATTTGCCTCCATGGCTCTTTACCTGTATATTATGAACAGGGATTAATATTCTGTAAGTGCATATTTTTCAGCAATTGGAGGAAAATTATGATGAACTACAAGATAAAGGACTAAACTTGACCCTATATGGCTGTTTTAATTGACAAAATA